CCGTGGGGGCAGTTCCTGCCTGGCCCACCCCCGTGCTGCCCCCCTACCCCCGGGCCTGGGCCCACCCCACCGCCCCAGGCAGGACAGGAGGATGCTGCACCCCAGAGATCCCGGGGAGCAACGCTTCCATCCCCCAGCACTGCCCTTGTGGCCTTACTACAGCCCTTAATGCCTCAGCAAGTAGCCACACACCCCCCTTGGGCACCCTTCACGCCCCTCCCCGGGAGCACAGATGCCCCCAGCCCTCTGCACTCACCCGGGTCCCTGTGAAACCACGAGGTCCAGCTCGCCACAGGCAGACAAGTGAGCTCAACCCATCGCCATGGGCCGTCCTGCAGCCAGGCGGTTGCTGACCTTAGGGCTTCAGCAGGTTGGGGGTTCCCTGGGGTATCCCCATGGGGAGAGGGGTCTGTTCCAGAGAGGATCTCGGCTCCTGGGATGTGGGATGGGGCTGAAGGGGGTGTGGGTGGGTGGCAGGCTGGGGCATGGCTCCCCGGCGAGTGATTCCCTGATGGAGACAGTCCCTCTAGCCCCATGAACCCCTGTATGGCGGGATTAGAGGGGCAGGTCCCTTCTCAAAGCCCTTCAAGCCAAGGCTGTGACATTTTCCATCAGGAGGGACACACACAGGGTACCCCCACATCCGGCCGCAGTGACCTGCAAAGCCACCGCTTATCCCACCTAGCACTGTGGGAAAATCATGTCTGATTAGAGGCTCCCAAAACAGGATTCTCGGGCCCGCAACCCCGCGTGCCCGGGGTACACGACATCCACGTGACGGCAAGAATGCGGTAACACAATCCAGGCCTTGAGAAACGTCCCTGGTGTGGGCAGAGGCCGGAGGACAGAGCCAGCGTTGCTGAGCGGGCGCAGAGGCTGTGCTAACAGCAGGGATCGGCGGAGCAGCTCCTGAAAAACTGGGTGTAAATGGGTCAAACCAAAGAGGAAGCCCCAGCTGCCAGCTCTGCTCCGGCTAGGAACTGTGAGAGGCACATGGGCAGCTAAACACCGCTTGAGGTGACAAACCCAAACACAGAGTAGGTATCTCCAGCACCTGCAAGCTTCCCTGCGCTCTCCACAAATAGAAACATAAGCAGCTTTGGCCACGAGTCATCTCCAGCCTCCCCCTGCCCACACGCATCGCTCGTCTTTCCCTGCCCAGGCAGAAATGCATCTGCTCCCTTATTTTCCTCCTTGAAACAAGTGCCGCCCACTCTGAGCAGCACGTTGTCTCAGCCTGTCCCCCAGCTTTTCAAACCAAAGAAGAGATTTTGAGTTAAAGGTTATTTGACACACAAAGCACAACAGATCCAGTGGATTTCTCAAAAGCGGTACACATAACCCTGAGTGGGATGATCTTGCTTTTATACACAGTGCTGGGCTGCTGGGGAACAGTTCAGTGTGTGGGAATCGGTGGGGAAAAGGAAATGTGGAGTAAAAAAAATACTTAAAATTCTGATTCCTTGTCCTAGGAAGCCACCAAGGACAGGCAGAGCGAACCACAAGGATCCTAGCTTTGCAGCAAGTTGGCTTCCAGCATCGGGAGTGAGAGCAGCGAAGCCACACGCTGGGTGCTCTGCCTGCAGCCTGCCCTATTTCACAGCCAGCACTTTCTTAACTCCACAGGTCGCAAGCGGCTCGGCGCAGCAGGGCTAAAGGCAGAGCCACAGCGGGAACTGGCACTTGTCCTGCTGCCATTTAGCCTCCCAGTTGCCAGCCCCAAGGAAAGTG